GAGCTTCCTGATAGTCTTAACCATGTTTCGTCCACAAAACCTTTAATAGAAGCCAAAGATGTTTCAATGTGGAAAAGGGCCTCAGTCTAAACCAGGCCTCATTTCAATCTGATGCATCAGCGTTCTCTCTCTCTCTCTCCCCCCCTCCCTCCCTCCCTCCCAGACTGGCTTTGCTCTACTTTCCTGATGTGCCTGCAGGGCCGGTGCTTCGAACATGGATGGATGGATAGATAGAGAGACAGGTAGGTAGGTAGATAGATAGAAATATTGGTAGATAAATAGGTAAGTGGTAGGTAGGCAGGCAGGCAAGCAGGCAGAAAGACAGACAGACAGACCTTTTGGATGGATGGATAGGTAGGTAGGTAGGTAGATTGATAGATAGATCTATATTGGTAGGTAGGTAGGTAGGTAGGTAGGTAGGTAGCTAGGCAGGTAGGCAGGCAAGCAGGCAGACCTTTTGGATGGATGGATGGATGGATGGATGAATGGACAGACAGAATATGACAGTGGCGGCACTTTGGGAAAGCGCTGGTGGTAGCTTTTCCCAATGTGCTGCTGCATTTGAGGCACCGGCTCCGGTGCAGTACAACAGTCAATGGGCCTGCAGGGCTGGTGCCTCAAATGCCCAGCTGCCACCTCTTAGTGCCCCTCTGCCGGTCCCCTTGGGGAAGTTAAGAGGCGGCAGGAGGGGTTCGAGGCACCAGCCCTGCAGGCTTACCCATTGACTGTTGCACCGCTCTGGAGCCAGTGCCTCAACCCCCGTCGCTTCTTAGCGCCCCTCTGCCGGCCCCCTTGGGGATGCTAAGTGGTGGCAGGGGCGCGGTAATGTGCCACCGCTGCTGCATTCAAGGTGCCGGCTCCGGAGCAGTGCAACAGCCGGCACCTTGAACGCTCCCTGCCTCTTAGCATCCTTCTGCCGTCCCCCTTGGGGATGCTAAGAGGCAGCAGGGTGGCATTCGAGGTGCTGGCTCTGGAGCAGTGCAACAGTCAATGGGTGAGCCTGCAGGACTGGTGCCTCGAACACCCCCTGCCGCCTCTTATGTCTCCAAGGCGGCTGGCAGATGGGCATTCGAGGAGCTGGCTCCGGAGCGGTGCAATGGTCAATGGGTGAGCCTGCAGGGCCAGCACCTTGAACACTCCCTTGCTGCCTCTTAGCATCCCCAAGGGGGCCAGAGGGGTGCTGAGATGTGGTAGGGGGGCGTTCCAGGTGCCAGCTCCGGAGCAGTGCAACAGTCAGTGGGTTACCCTGTGGGGCCGGTGCCTCAAACACCCCCCTGCCACCTCTTAACACCCCCCTGCCAGCCGCCTTGCCTCTTAGTGCCCCCCTAAGGCATCCCATTGCCCCCCGGGGGCGGTACCACCCACTTTGGGAACCACTGGTCTAGAGTCCTTATCACAAGCAATCCAACAGTAAGCCTCCCTTGAATTTCTTTAACTCTTGTCTAGTGCCAAGTTAGTTTCAACTGTAAATTGACTGGATTCTTGTGTATAGGCTTGAGCAATAAATAATCTTAACTTGAAATTAATGTGTGGACCTGATTCTTTTTGTGCGACTTTCTCTCTTTCTCCCCCCACCAACACACACACACACACACACACACACACAAAGACTCACACAGATAATTATATAGTCATTGCATTTAGTTAAAATCAATACATAACATTTTTATTGCAACTCATAAGTTCATATTACATTCTGACTCTATATAACACAAAATGGAATTCAGAAAAATTGAGGAATGCACGAATTAGATTCCAACAGAAGAGGGGTGGGTGAGGCAAAGTTACTGATAATATGCATACACTTCAAATTTTACTCAAGCTATACATTTTATGTATTTGGGAAAAATTATATGGAAATTATTTCTGTAGACTATATACGGTATACTAAAGAGAATTTATGATTCTAATTGTGTTAGAACAGGGAAAATAGTAAATTGCAACTCTTAGTTCAAAGAAATGCAGGCCGGGTTCTAATATAATATTCAAAATGAAAGGGTTAACCTGAGACATGTGAATATAAAACTGAGACCATCTAAGCATGCTCAAAGACACTTTCTAATTTACCATTAAGTCATATATTGACTATATAAATAGGAACCTGTTTTTTAGAACAGGTTTATTTTGTCTTTCTTCCAACAAATGTGGATGCAGAGAATATACAATCTGTAGCTTGATTTCATCTTTCTAAAGTTCAGTAAGAAGGTAATCCTAAAGGATATTCTGGCAGTACACATATATAAGCACATACAAGTTTCATGGGCTCCTGCATACTTTTCTTCTGACATGGCTGCATAAGGACTAGAAGCATCCACATCTGTTTTAAAATTAATTAGATTTACCTGTAACAACCAAATTTAAAGAATGCAAGTTGGTTGTACATATGATTTATGAATAAGTGAAAATAATGTTTGATCCAGACCTTTTAAAGTAATAGTTCAAATTAGCTAAAATTCATCCAATTAGTTTAAAACTCAAGTCTAAGACCAAAACTATTAAAGCCACAGTATTGTGATAACCATGTATCTATACAAATCAAGCACTGATGTACAAGATAACATAAAAAACACAGCTTGCTGACAAAATGTAGAAGTGAAGTTTTAGATGAAGTAGCAAGAGCACTGGTAAGAGGGTGAAACATGAGGTTTTCTTATATAAGATCATTATGTTTCTTCTATTGTATGAACGTCTGGCAAAAATATGGGATTCCTATAATTCATATGATGTGCACATTTTGTACCATACCCCAAGTGGTAGTTTTACTATCTTACTATATGCCCTGTAACAGTGTAAGATAAACACTGCAGAAGTATGACTTGGCATTTATCTCTAGTTATTACTGGGCCATGGGGGTATTATTTCAAGAACTGTGTGTGTTGCTAAAGTAGAAGAAGGGTTTGTCAGAAGTGCTTGTGTGTGTGCTGTTGAGAGAGAAAGACAAAGAGAGAGAATGGAAAGTACTTCCTCATTCTAACAAATAAAAAAAGCTGCATAATATGGTATATCATACAAATGTTCATATTCATTGACATTCATACTATCATATGTACATTATACACACACACATTTATCTTTCTTTCTTTCTTTCCCTCTCTCTCTCTTTCTCTCTTTCTTTCTTTTAGGATTATGTACCAAATTATGTATCCTCCCTACTAAATAAAATATATCACTGAAAGGGCTATGCATATATTGTAAATATAAATATACTGTACTTTTAATATGTCCTTTTATAATAGAGCCTTTTTCTGCATTCTTTCAATCCATTAAAGTTTAACTTTTTTAAAAAAAAATGTAGTTGATTCATCAATTTGTTTTAAAAATTACACAAAGAGCTGCCAGAGTAGCTTATAGACAATACAAAACAATACAACATAAAGATACAAGCACAATAATTAGATCCATAACAGAAAAAACATGCTTACAGACACCCACTTCCAAGATTAATGGCAAAGTCATACTTAAAATGATCACTTATTTAATTGGAGTTACTATAAGTCTAACTCAAATCCAACTAATTGAAAACTAAGCAGATCAGCTACAGTGAAGAAACATTACTACGTAATTAAGAGTTTTAAGGATTTGTAATGCCTCAAGCAATAGAAGGCAGTATCCAATCATACATTGTGCTACAAATGGAAAGATCTCATCTTATTTGCCACCATCTACCTTCTAACTACTGATAGCAAAAGGAAATGCAAAAAAATATAAAATAATAAAAAGCCAGTTAATGTTCTTTAAAATGTTCGCATAATTAAAAATATATATAGCAACAATGGACAAAGTATTTAACTTCTTCTCTAGATAAAACAAAAGATAAGAAAAAAATGAGAGAAGAAAAATTAACCTTTGGAAAGAAAATAATAAAATTAGGATATTCTAATCATGATAACTAGGTGAGTAATGGGACAGGCATGTATCTACTTTTCCTATTCACTAAAGATGCAACTGTAGGTACCATTTTAATGTAAAACATTTTCTTTATCTACTGGTGTAAGACATTTTATGTCTTGCATTGTTCTTAGAATCTGATCACCTTCCTGCATATTACATGCATCCATGTGATGGATATTTCATTTGGAGAAAACAAGATTCTAACAATTTCCCTTGTTAAATATTTTTTGTAACCATAATATTGAGATCAGTTATGTTCATATAAAAATACATGGGAAAAGGCAAACCACTGTACAGTAGTTCATTTACAGTTCAAGGATAAGGAGAACGGAATACCTTTCTACAAAAAAACAGGGATTTATTTGTTAAAATGAGGCAATATTAGCTGTTCAGTATATTTTAACAGTACATGAATAATTTTATTTTTCCTATGATATACATTATCAGACGCATAATGTTTAAATCCAGAAAATATGCAATATAAAAAAAAAGTTTAATTAAATAAATTAGTCATATGTTCTTACCACAGCATCAAAAGCACTTTCACATATGGTTGCCAATTAGAAGTCCTTCTTTTTTTTTCTAGATTATGCTAGGATTAGTTTTAATATTGATAAATGTTGCATCAGTTAAAGAGACTAAAAGAAGAATTTCTCCAGAAACACCATATATTCAGATGTCTTATGATTTTTCATTATGGTGATATATTCCAGTTTAACAAAGCCTTTAAAAAAATGTAATTGTTTCACTTCCTAGGGCATACCCTTTCCAAACTAGCAATCCTTTTAACAAATAACATATGTGTACTAGCTCATGGTGTTAAATTCCACTCTGTATTTCTAACTTTCAAGAAATAAAGGAAATATATTTTGAATGAAGCTATCTTTTTAGTGGGTCTCCGGAGGCATTATAAGTTAAAAATTTCACCTGAACATTTTATTTACATGTATACCTGCATTATTAGCAGATTTAAATTTTTTGCATTAAAACTTTTCTTCCTTTTAACCAAAGCAAAGTATTTTAAGAAAATTGATCAAAATATTGGTACAACTTTTATAATTTTGGAAGATTTGACCAAAAGATAAATAGAATGAAATTTCTTTGCCTACCTTCAAAGTAACCAATTTTTGTAGTCTGTGGCTTCTTTGGTGGTTTCACGGGGGGATGTTTATTTTCATTGTTTTTGAACAACGCCAGTCGCACAGCTGGGTCTAGACGACAAGAACAAGTTAAAATCAAAAGGTCAGATCTTGCTCATTCGTTCCTTGAAAGAAGTATTCGTCTTTTAGCCATTTATTAAGAGAAACAGAATATCCTTGTAGGTTTTACATTAGGAAGGAAAATATACTATTTCTAACATTAAAGAGTTAAAGTTAAAGCACCTCAATTTCAATCATATATCTTAAAGCAACTGTTGTTTTAATTTGGCTACTATATACAAAATTGCTATCATAAAACTACAATAAAAGTATGCTTGAATTAATAGTTGAATGCTCTGGTTTGAACATGTATTTTCTACTCAGTTAAAAAATTGCTAAATATACACTTAGCTATAGTGTATATGTTCTTACCCTCATTTACAAATAAAATAAAATAAAATAAAATAAAATAAAATAAAATAAAATAAAATAAATAAAATAAAATAAAATAAAATAAAATAAAATAAATGAGTTTAGTGGAAGTTTCTCTCATGTAAGTAGGAACAGTATTATAACCTAAGGTAATTAAGTAACCAAGGTTGCTATTAAGTTGTATCATGAGTCTAATTTGAGATTTAAAACGCTAAATATCTTTAGATCTTATGCTAAAGCTAAAGAAACTATCTAATGCAAGAGACTACTTTGCACTGTCTCTCTATTTGTCTTCATGCACAGCTATGTTCTAAGACACTGAGGTTACCTCTCAATGTTAGTTGGGATTATCCAACTAGCTGGAATTCTGAAAATAGGAGAATTACATGAGGAGTGGCCCATAATCTATCGCAATTTATACCTCTTTTTATACCTCTACATCTCCACCAGAGTTGGAAATAGTTCAACTATGGCACAATAATTTTGTCCAAACAGAGTTTTTAAAAAGCTGCTTCTTTACATCTTTGAGGTTAACTTGAAACAGTTCCTGCTCCTCTTCCCAATCCAACTTCAAAATTACCCTAAATGAATTAGTGGAATTCAGAGGGTAAAAAGTAAAAAAGGTCACTGCTAGTAAAAATGGATGTTTAAGGTCAAAGAGGTGCATTATGCTCTACTGCTTGATTACAGTTGTATATTGAAGAATATTTGCCAATATTCTTGGTTAGAAATGTTCCAGTATGATGCCAACCTCTTTTCTGTTACCTCTTAATAGAGAAAAAGAGTTGGGGTGGACAGCAATTGATGAATAAACCACAGCACAGTATGTCCACAACTAATTTAACTATCTGAATAAACATTCATCACTATCATGGAGTAAAGGAGAACAGCCTTCTGAACCTCTACTTAACAGGATTTGTCCACATGCATATACTCAGCTATCAGATAAATACAACTTGTATGGAAAGGAAAGCTAGGAATCTTTTCTTTTGATAAAAGCCACAAAACCTTCATATTTTCTGAATTTAATTTTACTTCAAGTAAGTTTTCAGACATTGATAAATACATACTGAGTAAAATAATATGACATGCAAGTGGTCTTGGTCACCAAGTTTATTTTGCAAATTAGTACTCTGTTTTTAGTGTGAACAACTGCTTTACTTCTCATGGAATTTGAGATATGTTGTCAAAGGTATATTTAATATCAACAAACTATGAGTATTAAATTTAAATTAGAGTTTGTCAACCCTTAGAGCTGCCAAGCAAATTTATTGGTTTGAGGTAAAAGGGAAGTTCTTTATTTTATATCCTCATAAAAGATTTAATCTATTAATTCCTGCTATTAATGACAGGTTCTGCAACTTTCGTTATATTAGGAGACTGGAACAGAAAGTTAAGTCTCCCCAAGTGATTTACAATGATACAAAAATGAATTTTTAAAATGCTGGTTTTATTTTGCTTTGTTTCTTGAAAGAAGTTTAGTTCATAGAAAATATGTAAATATGTTTTAAAAAATAGACAGTCTAAAACTAGGTTCTGAAGCCTGAAATGCACAAAATTACTAGAGAGGAAACTATGAATTAGAAAATAGTGTATCCTTTATATATTCTGAAAATGGTTATTACATAAGTATGTGTTTTATTCATATCCATTTTGGGGAAATTTATCACCACTTAGGATTTCTCTGACATGAACATATATGCTCACAAATCAATATGTACCATATGTAGAATTTCCCATCAGAAATTATAATTTGTACTGGAAATGTTTTAATGGGAGATGGTCCAGATAAAAGGATATAATCCTGAGAAAGTTTAAACAAAACCAGTGGAAATTAACACTTAGCTGCTAATTGATTGGAGTGGAAATTATGGCTGGCTAGATTAATGAAAAAAGTCTAGAAGCTGAAATAGGGACCTTTAATATTTGTCACCCTTTATATTATATTGGGCACAGCTAGGTATCTGTATTATCAATCTAAATCCAGTTTCTGTCATGTTGAAAGTATTAACTTATACAAATGTTCTGCAAAGTATTAAAAACACCCAACCACAAGTATCTGCTTTTATTTTTGTGTTAAATTTCACTTAATATGCTCATTTTGTAATAATCTTTTGTTTGTATGTTACCATCCATTTTTCATGTCCATGTCAATGGTATGTATGCTGGTAGGCCTTTGAGTTATAGGGCCACAGTTTGGGGGAATTAGGTGGCATATATATGTGCGTGTATACATACATTTATGTTTACGTGCATACAGATACATATATACATAAATGACTAAATACATTTGTATTATTCTTTATTAACCATGAGACTATTATTGAATTCTTAATAGTATATGAATTATTGTTGCAGCTATCTTGATATCTGTAAATTGCTTATGTTTATAAAGGCTGAAATGGTAACTACATAAATAAATAGCTCTTAAATTTCTTTTACATTCTTAGGTATATTTCCCATTACCCAATAGAAAAAATTCTGGTATTTCTAGCTAGGTCTAATGGGATATAAACTACAGTAAAAGGTCATATATTTCCCATTCTTGGATTTAATTTAATTACTGGTAGATAGAAAAATATATTTTGAATATGGATATGTTTGGTTTGCTATCTTTTTTCAGGAAAAATCCCCCACAGGATTTGGAGGTCTGTTACTTCAACTCCCTATGTAAGTAGGAGACCATATACCATTTCAGACAAGTGGTTGTCCCAATTTTTCTTAAAAACCTCCAGTGATGGAGCATCCATAACTTCTGCAAGCCATTCCACTGATTAACTGTTCTGTCAGGAAAGTTCTCCTTAGTTCTAACTTATATCAAAGCCAAAACCTGTTCAGACCTGATATTACCTGATACATATGATTAAGATTTCATTTTTAGCCAGTTATACAAAAATATAATAATGAAGACCACATTACTACTCTTCTATTTTTGTTGAGCTTTTTTAAAAAAAATACAGATCAAGTGTATTTATTTACAGTTTTTTTTAAAAGTACCTTATGTATTACTACTCAGTAATCATTTTAACATGCTTTGCATGATTAATTCTGTATTATGGGTGAGACTTCCACTCAGTAAATAGTTATTTGATCTGCATTTAAATATGAACCCATAATTTCTAGATAACTCATGTCTGATACTCTTTCGCTGTTCTGCTGCAGTGGATCTCTATTTTTATATTAATTACATACTCATCTACTTGGGAATTCTTTTTAGTAGGCAAACGTACAAGAAAAGTACTTTCAGTATTGTTAATATTAAGTCCTTTAATATTAGAAGCCCCAGAAGCCCCATCCTAGATGACAAAAACAAAATAACTGACTTTGATATTCTTTAAGAAAAAATATTTATGGCTGGATTAGTCACTAGTTATATAAAACAGATCACATGTGGATAAAAGATGGTGCATTCCAGTGATATGTGGGCCACCAAGCTGAACATATGTGAAAGATTCAACTGGACTCCTTCTTTTCTAAATAGTGTGACAGAACAAGGCAGAAGGCCATGACAGTCACTATTTTTTATGCAACCTTTTGGGGCCAGATAATTTTCTTGTGTCACATGACAGATAACAGATAACAGATAATCAGAGTTGGAAGGGACCTTATAGGTCATCTTGTCCAACCCCCTGCCCAAGCTGAAGACCCTATACCATTTCTGACAAATGGCAGTCCAATCTCTTCTTGAAAGTCTCAAGTGATGGTGCTCCCACAACTTCCAAGGGCAAGCTGTTCCATTGGTTGATTGTTCTCACTGTCAGAAAGTTTCTCCTTGTTTCCAGGTTAAATCTCTCCTTGTTCAGTTTCCATCCATTATTCCTTGTCTGTTCTACAGGCGCTTTAGAAAATAGCTTGACCCCTTCCTCCCTGTGGCAGCCCCTCAAATATTGGAACACTGCTATCATGTCTCCCCTGGTCCTTCTCTTTACTAGACTAGCCAAGCCCAGTTCCTGCAACCATTTGTTGTATGTTTTAGCCTCCAGTCCCCTAATCATCCTGGTTGCTCTTCTCTGTACTTTTTCTAGTGTCTCAACATCTTTTTTATAACGTGGTGACCAAAACTGGATGCAGTACTCTAGGTGTGGTCTTACTAAGTCTTTGTAGAGTGGTATTAGTACTTCCTTTGATCTTGACTGTATCCCTCTGTTAATACAATTTAGGATTGCATTAGCTTTTTTGGCGGCTGCTGCACACAGCTGGCTCATATTTAGCTGGTTGTCCACTAAGACTCCAAGATCCCTCTCACAGTTACTGCTATTGAGCCTGGTTTCACCCAGTCTATATGTGTACTTTTGGTTTTTCTTGCCTAAGCGTAGGACTTTACTTTTCTCTATATTGAATTTCACTTTATTAGATCAAGATTTAAATAACATGATCAAGATTTAAATAACATTTCTGAAAGGCATAAAACCTGATCATAAAATAGTACTGGAAATACATCTTAAATTTGTACTCCACCTGCCCAATATTTTCATATAGTTAATATATTGCTCTTGGTGATTATTATATACAGTAGTGGTAATGCATTAAATATTTACTACCGAAGTGTTAATGACTATCTTCACCTTTGGTGTACGTCAGTTACAAAAGGTATAGAAAATGTCATTCTGACATTGCTTAAATCCAGGTACATTCATTCT